CTTTCCTCCCTTCCGTTAAACTTAAACAGGATTTGTCGATTTCTTTCCTCCCTTCCGTTTAATTTAAACAGGATGTCTCGATTTCTTTCCTCCTTCCATTTAATTTAAATAGGATATCTGATTTCTTTCCTCCTTTCCGTTTAACTTAAACAGGATGTATCGATTTCTTTCCTCCTTTCCGCTTAATTTAAGCATTATTTGTCGATTTCTTTACTCCTTTCCGTTTAACTTAAACAGGATTTGTCGATTTCATTCCTCCCTTCCGTTTAACTTAAACGGGATTTGTCGATTTATTTTCTCCTCCCCGTTTAACTTAAACAGGATTTGTCGATTTCTTTCCTCCCTTCCGTTTAACTTAAACGGGATTTGTCGATTTATTTTCTCCTCCCCGTTTAATGTAAACAGGATTTGCCTTTGTTTTCTCCTTCCTGTTTAATTTAAACAGGATTTGTCTATTTCTTTCCTCCTTTCCGTTTAATTTAAGCAGGATTGGTTGATTTCTCCCCTCTTCCCTGTTTGTTGTAAGCAATATCTGTCAATTTCTTAATTTAGAAAGGTTTAGTTATTAACGCTAGTGAAGGAAACTCCGAAAAGAAAACTGCAGGTTACAGTCAGCTCATTATACTACCACAACAACTGATATTATCAAAGAACGAGTTCATTTTAGTGAGGGCAGATTGGGTGCGTTGATTTTTACAAACAACAACAACATAATGTTAAGATATGAATAATTTCGTCTAGGCTAATAACTATGAAAACAGTATTAGATCGCCACAGTTTTACCAAAATGACCTAGACATGATAAGCAGCTTATTAAAATCTGCCACCAGAGATGGTTAATGTCACATAAGACTGTCATAATCGATCAATACGTAGGTCTTAAAAGTTTCACTAAAATTATAAAACAATGCACATAGACGAGCCAAATTTGATATTCAAATAAATTACTAAGAGGAGATATGACAAACTAAAGTTAACTGTATTTATTTAAATCCTTAACAAACCAATAAATTAATTGTAACGTTATATAGAGGCACTGTGGGCACATCATGACATGTCCGATTTAATGGTATTAATTTTTCAAACTTGGTTGTTTTTTTTAAGTAAAGCACAAAGCTACACAATGGGCTATCTGTGCTCTGCCAACCACTGGTATCGAAGCCCGGTTTCTAGCGTTGTACGTCCGCAGACATACCGCTGTGCCACTAGGGGCCTTTTTCAAACTAAACATGCATCACAATCAGACCACCGTATCTCTTATCGGAACGTCTCCCCTTCAATGGGTCAGCTATAATCTGGGATGTGTAATATATATATATATATATTGTTACGACAGCAGTAGTCACGTGACGCTGGTAACACGTCATGATATTCTAGAAGATTCACGAAGAAACGAGATGTACGCTTTTTGTATATATAAGACCGGTAAGAAGTGACGGCAACAATGGAATTGAATTGCAGACAGAGATAGAGACGGATAATTGAGACAAGCGCATGAATCTTTCGTTGTGAATTATAGCGTTTGTTTAAGTTATAGCGTGACTGTGGAAATTAAGTGAATTTCAAAGTTGTATTGAGAAAGAATAAACTAGTTTTATTTAAGAAAGGACTTGTATCGCTAAAGTTTCTTCAGAAAGAATTTTTACGGAAAATTAACAAACGAACAGAGACGTAACAATATATATGTATATTACTCTGTTCAAACGTGACCACCAGGTGCATTATATTACAGAACTCGTGAAAAATAATCAAAATATCCAACCCATAGGTAATAACACTCGTTAACACGCAATTTCTGGAAACAGGAAGTAAGGAATTAGAATATGATTTTATATCTTAACGTGGTGGTCGAAACTCAAATATTTAAAAAAATGAAGTTACAGAATAATCAAAGTACAATAGGAACTCAAATTGTATCATAGTAAAATTATTGCCAAGTACATGACAGGTAGTTGCAAAACCCGAAAGAAAATACACCCAAAAAAATTAGCTTGTATCAAAAACTCTACGTTTTCTTACTGAAAAATTACTAGGATTATTTTTGAATTGTACAATAATTTTGGGAATAATTTAAAATAACACTAACACATTTTAAGTTACGTTAAATCGAAGGTTCTCATGGTCTGATCCTTAGCATATAAATACCCGTCAACTGACAGAGAATGTTTAAACTTAATTAAAACAATGTAAGCTTAACAGCAGTCATATATTTCAAAGTAATAACTTGAACATAAACTTTATGTCAAAATTTTAAAATTATAACAAAGCTTCTTCATAAACAACATTTGCAGTTTGCTTTCCGTCTACTAACAAATAAAGATTTTGAGGTGATCCCACCCTTGAACACCCTACGTTTCATTGATCATAAGAAAAACATGGTTGTTTGAGAAACAATCCAGCAACTTTCATACTTTGACCTTGAATCCCTTTAGAATATTTAACATTGCCTAAAGCGTTAATCTTAGATTGACTCAACTGACTGGGAGTAATTAACCAACAGGCTTTACAAAATAGAAATAGGGTTACGTTGAATTTTGACCTCCTTACGAGATTCCCCATAGTTTATAGTGTTTACATGTAAATTTTGGTTGAGATTGGTCCAATAGGCTCAGGGGAGTTAGGGTGTAAACAAATACACATTTCGTTTATATGTATATGTATATAGGTGACCGAAATACAGGTGATAGGAAAAGCCACTCTAGTTACGAAATTTTTAACGTTCCGATGTACTCGCACACGCTATGTACACTTCACAGAATATCTTTGGCATATCCCTCATAAAAGAAAAAATCAATTTAAGTTTGTTTATTTTCTAAATTTATTAATTAGAATAAATTGGCTGGTCGAAAATAGGCTTAATCTGACCTTTGGTTACTTCTAAGTCTTTAAATTTGAAATAAAAAACACATTTTTCAACTTTTGTATCAACTCGTTGGACAGACAGCGTTAATGATACAGGAATGACGTAAATTCAAAAACTGCACGGGGTAAAAAAAGGTTTGTTGTATACTCTTCAACATCATGTTTATTTTACGTTTCTTCTTTAATCGGGGCCCAGCATGGCCAGGTGGATAAGGCGCTCGACTCACTTTTTGGAATTTCGCGCAAAGCTACACGAGGGCTATCTGCGCTAGCCGTCCCTAATTTAGCAGTGTAAGACTAGAGGGAGGGCAGCTAATCATCACCACCCACCGCCAACTCTTGGGCTACTCTTTTACCAACGAATAGTGGGATTGACCGTCACATTATAACGCCCCCACGGCTGAAAGGGCGAGCATGTTTGGTGGGATGCGGATTCGAACCCGCGACCCTCAGATTACTCGTTGGACAGACAGCATTAATGATACAGGAATGACGTAAATTCAAAAACTGCACGGGGTAAAAAAGGTTTGTTGTATACTCTTCAACATCATGTTTATTTTACGTTTCTTCTTTAATCGAAATGAGAAACACTTAAAATCAGTAAAACATTCCAACTTAAGAGATTTCCTGTTTTGTTTCAGTCATAGAAAAAATAAGGATAGCTAGATGCTGTGTTGACAATCCACCAGTTTTTCGCGGTCTCTGGGGGTGACATTGTCTCAAAAAAGATAATGCACAAACATGAACTTACCGCTTCAATGTTTCGAACAAGCACTCATAGTGCCACTGTATAGTTCAAAGGAAGCAGAACAACCCTTTAAGCGCACTAACTGTTAAGGACACAAAAATTGTATACAGTACAATGTTGTATAATGTTTCTTTTCCTTCTTTCTTTTGTTATTAAATCTCTAATGATATCATTAGATGCTAATTGTGTAGAAGGTAATAACTGACTCATTTAAATGATTAGGTACTTGTGTCTTTAAATTCAAAGCCAAAAGTCTAAAAAAATGTGGAAATGTGCCCTATTTCAGGGTATTTTTTATCCCCTTCTCAAGGAAAATATCCTAAAACAAAATAGCCCATGTACATCACAGACAGTTACCAGTTATCATACAAACATTTACAGTAATCGAGCCAGCCAACGCTGGGTGATGGATGCTAACACAAATACATAATGGACCATCTTTATCTTTATGATGAAACAATCCATAAAATATACATGATGCATATGTTTAACCTCAGAAAATTAATCCCATAAATTCACACGCCTCACTTTATGTAATATGTCCTATATAATCAAACTTTGGTTTAACTTTCTGGAATATTTCTTACCAGTGCCATTTTCAACTTGTTTCGTGTACAAAATATGTCGTACAGTTTATTAAATCTTTTTCGCTATACGCTGTGAAACAACACACAAGAAAAGGAATAGAAATCAAATACACCTGTATGTCGTGGAATTCAGAAGTAAATAAGTGTGATACGGATTAATACAATCTTTTAATAATCGTGTCTCTGGAAAAGTGGATCAGCTGGGCCTTGTGTTGGAAGGCTGTACATTCCTAGATAAACAGCTATTTTTGAACGATTTATATTTTTATTTTTGCTTAATATCTTCGCTGAAAGTAACAAAACCCAGAAAATAATCGTGAGAAAACTGTACCTCAGAATTTATCAGTTACAAAGTGCCCCTTATAAATTTCAATTACACACTACCACTGAGAACATTTCAATTACAAACTGCTCCTCACAAGTTTTCAATTACAAACTAAACTACCACTTAGAAATTTTAAATTACAAATTGTCACTGAGAATCTTTCAATTAAAAACGGCCCCTAAGAACCTAAAACCTTTCAATTACAAATTGCTCCTTAGAGCTCTTCAGTTACAAACTAACGCTAAGAACCTGGAACCTTTCAATTAAAAACTACCCCTAAGAACCTTTCAATTACAAATTGCTCCTTAGAACTCATTTAAAAACTACCCCTAAGAATCTTTCAATTACGAACTGCCCCTTAGAAATGTTCAAACTACCACTAAGGATCTTTCCATTACAAACTGTCCCTGATAACCCTTCAATTACAAACTGTCCCTTGGTTTCTTCCATGGACGTCCAGAGGATATATTACAGAGGGTGCAAGATAACAAAATGATTTCAAAACTACAACTAGGGAAACACTTTTTTTTCCTTTTTAATTATACGTTATACTTTATGTTTTGGTTATATAATCCGGAGGGGGCACTCTCCGGACCCCCATGGTTTCTTCTAAAAGAAATCTTAAAGATACACATAAAAAAAAAACAATTTCTTGATCCCCTTAACCTCCAAACTTTTTACATAGGTATATTCGGTCAATTTTTTCATTACCAGAGAGAATCTTCGATTGAGTCCAGGAGCAAAATTTGAGCGAATGCTTGCTTACACGTTCTGATTTAGTGTTGGCCATATGACATTTTACAACAAGCCATTATTTTTTATCTTCAGTAAGCGAAAAGGAAATTATAATTTTTACATTATAACAATCCTTCAAAAACGTTTTACTCAGAAATATTAAACACAGTTATATCAGAAAAACAAGACACTTGCTAACTTAGCATCACGAGAAAGTTTGATCTTACTTCTGACCTCTCAACAATTCAAACAATGTGTATCATTACACAGCTTCGTATTAGTATATATTTAACTTAGATCTTTTGAAACATCCCGAAGCATTTCGTAAAAAAAACAACAACAACAAAGAAACATAAAATTATTTATTAAAACTTTTTAGGCCAACTTGAAAGCCCGAGAAAACCGTGGCTAATACGCGCCATGTTGTAGCATATACTTAAGACTATGGTTTCATTTGCTCCAACTTAAAAAAAAAAAACGTTAAACAGAAACCGGAAATAAAAAACAGAATGCTATTATAACTTCTATAAAATATATCTTAATAACAAAGAAAAATAATAGATCGTACTTGACAAGTGCCTTCTTAGGAGCTTGTATTTTTTTTTCAGCGAGGAACTCGTGAAAACAATAATTACTTTTTAACATTTACACTTACCCCTATTAGTGAGACAGCTAGATACGCCATTCCTATGGCAACAGCATCACTTCCCAAAGATCTACGGCTCGAATCAACTGTGGCAAACACGGTGAAAACAATGACGAACGTTAAAACGAATTCAATTCCGAATGCTTGCCAGGCTCCAAGATCAGGGTGAATCACGGTGATTCCTAGCGTTTCCTGGTGGCCAGGAATCGTTACACTGAGAAAAAAACACTCACCATAAAACAAAGGAGTTTTAGAAATATTAAATTTAAAATTCTCTCTCTTGCAGTTTTACAACTACAAGGCAGCTGAAACGCAATTTAAAATAAAACTAGGTCAGACAGAAAAGGCCTCATAGACAAGGACTTATGGCAGACTAAAACATGGCTCTAAAGTGTTAGTTTTATTCCTATTTGAAAACACAAGATGGTGGTAAAATATTAGGTAGGCAACAAAGGGTAACCGCCGCAGTAGAATGACGTAGCACATAGCCTCGACTGTAGATTATTGAGTATAAGGACTACCTTATTGATGTACGTACTCAAAGTATTTGCCAGTTTATTTCAGCTTCTTTTGGTTTTTTCTTCTTATTTTTAGTTCAATATGGATCACCGTTTAAAAATAGTATTTGGTGAACACTGCCGCTCCTAATGTATAACTACGTTTGACATGGTTACCATTTAGTGATTATCTATTTCGAACGCATTTTTTAGGCTTCATGCTTCGCCAAACAAGTAACATTAAGACTCGTGGCTTTAAAAGTAAAATTCACAGCACTAACTCCTGTAATCAGCCTAGGTTTAAACCTTGGTCAATACTAACCTCTGAGCCCCTCTCACCATTAACAACAACCAAACTATTTGCGTTCATAATGAAGTACTTGTGTCTCAAAGTTCAAGTTCAAACGTGAACAACTCGTCTACCACCGTAACTGAATATAGCAAAATCGTTACTGCGTAATTTTCAAAATAAGATAATGCGGGAGGGGGGCTGCTTTCTCAAAATAGGGTCGACAGGAGAGAGTAGAACCAAAAACAACACATCAAACTAAATACTTTACAAAATTCGCGACCAACCCACTCTTTAAAAGATTGACCGACATTGAGTTCCACTTTAGTCACAACTTTTCTTCCAAATAAAATAAAACCAATTCATACGAACAAATTTGTTAGTAAGCTACAAAAAACCAATTATTACGTAAAGAACTATACTAATTTCTTACAGTTACACTCTCAAATACTCAGTTCTTAAAATGGAGGAAAAGAAGAAGCGGGGTGGTTTCTGAAACGCTTGAAGCTGAGAACTATGTTTTTGTTTTTCATGTGTATTATTTATTTATTATTATAACAGGTGGCGAGGTGGTTTCGGGTCTTCCTGAATAGACGTCGGATGGCATCCCGCCCCACTACAAGTGCTACAATTCAACCAAGTGTATCAGGCAACTAGGAGGCAGACACTGGCGTATCCAGGAGTTTGAAAAAAGGGGGAGGGGGCAAGTCTTAACATTCATATTTGCATATAATTTCTATTTATTTTTATAATATTTAAACTTTATTATTTCCTTTACATTGGTCAGATGAGTGTTATAACATGCCACTTTATTGACGTCACTCATCTATCGCGACTACGCTGAAGTTGCAATTTTGGAAATCGTGAATAGGATTTTGGGTGAACTAGATGTAAGTTGAAGCTAGTTTTCAACGTAATTTTGCAGGAAAAGTGCAGATCTGAGTGTTCGAGATTATTAAAACAGTCTATTTATCCATAAGAATAATACACAATAAAATTTAATGTTACAATCTTTTTCACCAGAGGCGTCCCTAGGCACTGGTACACGGGGCCCGTGACCCGATTCTATTTGACAGTGCCTCGAATCCCCGGTTGGTGTCTTGAAAAATCAGAATAGAAAACCATGATCGATATCATACTGAAACGCCAAAAATTCCCGGCCTGGCATGGCCAGGTGGTTAAGGAGCTCGACTCCCCAATCTGCGGTGTGCAATTTCGAATCCCCATCCCACCAAACATTATTATGTGACGGTGAATCTCACTGTTCGTTGGTAAAAGAGTAGCCCAAGGGTTGGTTCACTAAATTAGGGACGGCTAGCACAGATAGCTCTTGTGTAGTTTTGCGCTAAATTCGAAACAAACAAGCCAAAAATTCCCGTGCCTATAGGCCCAAATATTTTAAGTACCTAGCGACGTCTAGGCTTTTCACCGAAAAAAAGGGTATATTACCGTATATATATATATATGTGTGTGTAAGCCGTTCAGATTTGAAATTAATGTTAGGACAAGTCGTGAATGCGATTAAAGTTCTAGTTTCTTATAAAATTATACATAAAAGAAGAGACACAAATTCACTTCAAGAAACTACTTCGTAGTTAATTGAATAAAAATCGGAATTTAGAATAAAAATGGTAGATATTGGGCGTAAAATATGTCATAAAAAAGCACCTCAATTACAAATATGTTTTTTTCTCTCTTCATTTGCCCTGCCCCGTAGTGACACAGCGGTATGTCTGCGGATTTATAACGCTAGAAACCGGGTTTCGATACCCGTGGTGGGCAGAGCAAAGACAGCTCATTGTATAGCTTTGGTGTTTAACTTCAAACAAATCATTTGCCCAGTACGGATTCAACATCAGAGATGTGTAAAAATAGATTCTAGTAATTTGTGGGAGTCAAAAGACAGACCTGAAATGCTATTTTTACACACCTCTGATTTTGAATAGTATTTGGGCAGATGAAGAGAGAAAATAAAAACATCTGCAATTAATGTGATTTTTATCACAAATTTTAAGCCTAAAAGTTTTTAACGATTCCTTAGCTTTCGGCGTTTAAACCGCAGGAGGTAGAAAATGGTAGATATGTAAGACATATTACGTTGCTAGCGAGAAGATTTTTTAGATGACAAGAAGAAGATCTGGCAAAAGATAGAAGATGTGTATTTATCATGCACAGTATTTTTCCTCGTTGTTCTTCTTAAGCACAAAGCTACACAAAGGGCTATCTATGCTCTGCCCACTACGGGTATCGAAACTCAGTTTGTAACATTATGTCCGCAGACATGCCACTGTACCTTTTCCTTCTATCAACTTGAATTAATAAATGCTCAATACATACCATCCAAATTATTACAGAAAATAATAATAATACATTATTACACCACAGAAAAAAATATAGTTTGTGTTCTAGGGATTTTATCCCGGTGAGGTGGCGAGTTCCAAACAAGGGTATTGGGGATCGTAAAAGGGGGAGCAAGCCGATGTCTTTTTCGAAGAAAATTTAAAACAAGAAAAGGTAAGAAATAGTTATGGTTTTAATCTTGTTAACGTTATGTTCATATTTTGTAAACTCAGGTTATATATGTGTAATAAAAAATAAATTAATTTCCATTTTAGTGTAATATGAACGCCACTCGAACAATAAGATTCACTTCTCTAATTATTTTTAATTAATTAATATGATGTCAGAGATGCTTGTGTTGCTAATAAAACTTATGAAATAAAGTTGAAGAAAAGCTGTTTCGCATTTAATATATTTATAATGACATTATTGTGTAATTTTTGTTATTCAGTGGTGAATATTGTACTTGGTTAGTTAAAAAGAAATTAAGTTTATATTGAAAACAAATTTGAAAACGCCACGTAACGGCGAAAACATTCTGTCCAAATTCTGGATCCGCCACTGTAACAAACGCCTTCCTTGATTTATTGAAAAAGTATTAGAACAAGTAGCCTATGCTATGATAACACCGTAAATTTGCTGCTTGTTTTAAATGGACGTTTTTAAAGTTATATTGTGATTGCCTAAATACTAAATCTTCATTTTTTTAATTTGTGAAATTATTTTACAGCCTTTAAATTCTACAAGAAAATTTATATCCCCCTCTCAAACACTAAAATTAGTAGTTACGGCTTTGTTCATTTAAGGATGGAAAGTGACGACTAATTTACTATTATTTTTTTTACAGAATAAACGAACAGCACGTGTAATGTAATACTTCTCATCAAGCACCGTAAGCAATAAAAGGGGTTTTTATTTTTAGAGTACTTTTCTTGGTTCAAAATTCCACTAAAAAAATTACACGTGATCCTTATGTTGTATATTCTATGATGTGTATGGATTTATTGAATTTGAGCCAACTTAATTGTTCAAGCTCTACTTGCTCCAGATTTAAAGAACCAATGAATGATCACTTGTAAATACCGATAAGTATTTCTGCTTACGACTACAAACCACTAACGTGCTTCCAGTTTGTTCAGAGATCTTTGTTTCTGCCCTTAAGTACAGTGTAATGTGGTTCTTTTGCAATAATTCCTTCTTCGGCACACTTGTACTTTTATACAGAAAGAAGTTAAGGACGAAAGAAGCTTAGAAGTACACATATATATATTGTTACGACATCGATGTCACGTGACTAGTATCACGCTACGTCATTCTTGAACTTTCACGCCTTTTCCTTAAATCTCGTGATCTTTCTAGACATAGTGTAGTTTTGTATATATAAGACCGGCCACGAAGCGACGGAGAGTTAATGAGTAATTGAATGTATGCGGACAAAATATTGTTGGCCACGTAAGACGTGAATTATAGTGTTTGTTATAGAGCGACTGTTGAAATTAAGTGTATCGTAAAGTTGTATTCGGAAAGAATAAACCAGTTTTATTTAAGACAGGACTTGTGTCGCTAAAGTTTCGTCGGAACGAATTTACGGGAAATTAACTAACGACTGGAGGCGTAACAATATATACATATAGTTTCCTGATATAGTTTATTGAACTAAAGAAATTAATATATATATATATATATTATTTCAAGTGAAAATAAACAGACTTTTGTAGCACAGTTTT